CGTTTGTGAATTACAGTCGCTTTTTACAACAACTATAGTCTACAAATGTGATCTTTCGTCACAACCTAGCCCACAATTATAGTTATTATTTTTGTGTTATCTGCTTAACCAATACCAGAACACGTCACTAGACATAATGTTGATGTCAAATTATACTTTAGCCTTTAAATTAACACCAACACGACAAAAGATCAAAAAAGGGCCATTTGTGGAAAGATACCCTAAAAAAAGGACTACGGGGGTAATATTTGATAATAGAAGACTAAATATGGAAACCCCCCTATTATAAAGGACCAATTATGGAATTTACTCTTTTCTAGATTACCCACTATCACTGGCGGCTACTGCTGACCACTACGTGATTAATGCGAAAGACAACTTGGGATGACAAAAAATTAGAGTAGTAAAAGTACTAGTAATTGTTTTTAATTATAATAGTAATAAGTTTTAATTTAAATAATAATTAGTGTTATTTTACTTAAAAAATAGTGTAACAAAACTACTAATTAACTTTTAATAATAATAATAAATTAAAAAAATAGAAGAAAAATAAAAAAATTAGAGATATATAATAATTAATACAAAGTAATACTAATAAGTATTTTTATTTTTATAAAAGAGTAAAGTAGTAAAATTACTAATTATTTGATTTTAATAAATAATAGCATTAATAATAAGTGTTTTTTATAATAAGTTCTATTTTCCTAAATAAAAATCAATGTTATTTTTATAATAACTAATTTTAATAATAATAGAATACGATGAAAATAATAATAAATACTCCGCATGAAATAATAATAACAATAAGTATTGTTATTTTCTAAAATATATAGTTTGGTCTCTCTCTAATAAACAGGGAGGGAGAGGGGGGGCGCTGGTCTCTGTTGGGGATTGGGAAGGTGGGAGGGGGGGGCTGGTACAAGAAAGAGAGAGAAAAAAAGAAAGAAACAAGAGAGAAGAAGAAAAAGATAACGGATAGAGAAACTAACGGAGGCATGGATGGAATGTCACCCCATATTAAGTTTTTGGATAATTTAAGGTACCTCAGAGTATATATTTTGAAAAATAATGGGACCTGACAGTGCTTATTACAAAATAGAGGGTACCCGGCAGTAATTTTTTGGTTTTTTCTTAGTCAAAAGTTTTACATTTTTATCATAAAATATGAAGAAATATATTGACTTATAATATAAATTTAATATCAATTGATTCAAATTGAAATAATGTTTAAAAATATCATATTTTTATCATATACAATTATATGTATATAAATAGAGATACCAATGATTAAAAAATACATTGGAGACCATAAAAAATTAATAAGAAGATAATTATGGGATGAAGTGAGTAATTGTTACGTAGCCATTTTAGAACACTAAAGCTAAACAATAGAATTGTTGACTAGCAAGTACTGCATTTGTACACTAACTACCAGTAATTTTGACAAACATGAAGTTAATTGATAAATCTACATCTAAAGCAAAGACGTACGATGTATTTGTTAAAATTCTAATATAACGCGAGGAGCCATAAGATTATATAATCTGTACATGAAGGGCAAATAATGAACTTGGCTATATGTGCTAAATAGATATGTAATAATACATTACTTCAAATGTGGCTATTCGATAAAAAATAAACTCCAGTCTTTAAGATTCCGCACTACCACTTGAACAATAGGTTGAGAGGAAGTAAATGAGAATATGAGATTATGATTCCAATGTGGTTGATACGAAGCAAGCATGTCTGTGGTGCGTGTGAAATCCCATGTAGAGCATGATCAATTTTTTATTGTTGATGTTAGGATACAAATCCGGATTTACCTCTATTGGTTATTCGATGATTTTGTGAATGGGAAGTGAGAAAAGAGTTTTCAAGGATGGAAATATGAAATTGTGCATAAGTTTCATAATGAGCTTTACTTAAGGTGTTGATGCCTTAGTATAAATATAAGTACCATCAACGATAATCAATAAGTTACACGAATACTCTAAATCGATATCTTGGGAAGCTTGGATAGAGTCCGAGTGGATTAGTGTTTTATCATACTCCGTATGTAACAACATGAGGGTGTGCTACAAGGATATATGTATAAATTCTTAAGTTGTACATAACCGTCAAGGGTATCCGATAAATCATTGATAAAGGTTTAAAGAAAACCTTTCAAATCCTTGAAAGCAGTTGAAGATAGTCATAGAAATCTTCGTTGTAAAACAGTTGGTCGAGACGCCCATTGTTTGGATGAAGTTGGTGAAACATGAACATTAGTGGACTCAAAGTCCTCAATAAGATACTTATGTCTATTTCTATGTTTTATTCTATTCTGCATTTAATTCGTAACATACTCATATAAGTTATTACACCGTAGGTATAAATTAAATAAATTTTCAAGTGAGAATACTTTTATACTCTATTCCCACACACCCCCTCCCCACCCCCTCCCCTATCAAAAGGGGCTGGGTGGGATCAAGTAGTGGCTAATACTGTTTGGGAGCTAGGGAGGGGGTTGGCCTTGGGACATAATCAAAATGGGGGTGGGGGAGATGAACAAGGCAAATGGTAAGGCCAAGGGGTTAGAGCCCATCCTCAAATCCAACGGAGTATCGTAGGCCATCAAAATCACTCGATATTAAAATATAACACCAAGGACTAGTGTCAAAAGAACGCGGTTAAAAGCATCGTAATGCCCTCAGAAATAAAACTCACTTGGTGTCGTACGATGAGACCGAAATATCAAAACAACCGCAGTTCATATCATTTCCTTGTAGGGTTGAGTATAATAAAAGTACAACACAAACACAAGAGCCCTTAAAGAAGAGATTATTTATTCCACACACAGCTAAAACAATAGCCACTTTAGAAGAAAAAGGAAATGGAGTCTTGGAAGATTAAACACAAAACATTCATTTCATCACACTAGAGCAAGCTCACTGGATGGAGGACCTGGTCCTAGAGTTCATCCTTTGGTGTCCCATCTTTGGGGTACCCCGAGGATGATTTCTTGATGGGGTAAGAGGCTTCCATGGCTATGCCACAAAGTCCCTCCTCGGCATGTACCCCACGTTCCATCCGAATATAACCTTGTTCTCCCCAACCAGTCCCCCATGAATTCTTCACTATCCAGTACTTTGTGCCGTCATGCGTTGCTCCATAGCCAACAATTGCAACTCCATGGTCTAGCTCAGTTCCACACTGTCCACTGAACACTCCCTGCACCGAATGAATTGATATGCCACTTAAATCCTCATTTTAAGATATTATTTTCTTTAAGTTTTTTTTAATAAAAAAAAGTTCAGCGATTTAATTCGAACTCAACCATACCAAGCAGATTTTAAATACTGATGACAGGATTATTAAGAACGGTGTGAATTTTAAGCATACCTCAGAGTAGAATTGCAAATCAGAACCACTGGCATCTATGGCAACAGATACTGGCTGGTTAGCAACAGCTTTCATCAAAGCATTTTCGTCGTTTTCTGGAATGTTTTCATGCCCATCAATTGTCACAATAGGAGCGTTCATCTTCAAAACAAAAACCCGACAGAGTAGTAAATTTAGGGGAAAATATTAACAGCTGGTTGTTTATAAGATAGGAGCATATTTCATTATTACCTTTGATGAATCACATTTCTCACCCCTTGCAATGTAAGGGTATTGCCTCTCTGTTGTTATTCCACCTTTCTTCTTGATGAACTCATACGCTTTGTCCATAAGTCCTCCATCGCAGCCATCATTGTCCTTTTCACAATCAACAAGCTCTTGTTCAGACAAAGAAACCAGCTGTCCAGTCTTGATCTTGTTGATTCCTTCGACCCCTACTATGGTCGAAAAAGCCCAGCAGCTACCTGGTAGAAAATTAAGCCATCCAAACAGTCATAATATTCTGGAAATGTAAATTCAAAAAGTCAGGCTCGGCGGAGGTTTGGAAGGATTGAAAAAACAAGGAGTTTACCGCATTTTCCTTGATTTTTTATAGGCGTCACCGCTCCTTTCGTCCTCCAATCAACAGAGGTGGGGAGGTTTTCAACATCTGCATACATAAATCCAGTTAAAGCTCTGGGGCCATGGAGCATCCTATGATGTCTGACTTTGGAACTGTAAGCACTCCTGAACTCATGGTTTGTCATATCAGCAAAGCCGTTCAGTTTGAGCTTGTAAGGCCTGTTCATCTTGTTCACCTTGTGGATGTGCATCACGTTCGCCTTGAAGACATTGAAACGTTTCTGTTTCTCATCCAAGTCTCTGGACACAGTGTGGTGGCTCCTCCATCTCTCATACAGATCCCACAGGCTCTCTTCAGAAGCCAAGTCGTCATCTGTGAACTCGATGCTCTTAGCTAGCACAAGCACCATAGAGAGTATGGCCAGAACAACCAATGGCATCTTCACCAACTCCATAGCCATGATCCCTGCAAAATCAAAGATTCAGAGACTCACTGGAAAACAGATGAGATTATTGGAAGGTGCCGATATTGTAGGTTCTTAAATAGCATAAAATCAAAACAATTTCCGTGCTTTATTTGGACTTTGCAATGATATAAAGCTTCAACAGAAAAGAGGGTCTCCAAAATCACGCTACCTCGGATAGTTGACAGGTGACAATATTGGGAGCTGCCAGAAATGATTTCTGGCAGGTTTGAGGACCTAATATATTTTGTCCTTTGGTAGTGCTATTTTTAGTACATGCATAATATGAGATTACTCAGTTCTGTCATTTGGTATTGCTATTTTTAGTACATGCATCGTATGAGATTACTCAGACCCACACGTAAAATGTACACTGTTTGTCGTATTCATTGTCATCGCATACATACTCCTAAAGGTTAAATTTCCATAATTACTCAGGCAGGGGGGGTAAGGGAAGAATTATAAACCATACATAATGCTCATAATGGGTAAGATATTATGATGACAAGAATGTCTGAAATATTACTCAAATGAGTTCAAACTTGCATCTCTGCCCTCTGCTCTAAAGCTTTCAGAAACATGGGTACCAAAAATCAAAACCTACCCATTGGCAACTCAAACATAATACAACCACAACAATATCAATAAAATTGAAAGGTCGCTGATTTAACACGGGTTGCAAAAGAACAAATAAACTGCACAGACAATGAGACAAGTCCCACAATTGGGATTTACTCAATCTTAGAAGCAGCTAGGTTTTGCAAGAGAGCCTTTCAAAATCCAAATACATTCCAAGCCAAATGTAGAAAGAGAGATACAGAGATGTCCAAACTAGACTTTGTTGATTACATTCATTACAATCAGCTTGACTTATGAAAACCACAATTGAATCTTGAATCTCTTATGGTTCGAATGGATATTTAAAAACAACAACAATGGCTAGATGCAGCTCACGCAGCTTTGGAAAGTGACTCTCGCTGCTTGTTTTCTTTGATCAGATCCTCCCTCATCTTCCTGATCTCTGCTTCCATCTCCATTTTCTCTTTCTGCAATTGGCCCAAACCAATTGTCATTATAAAAGATCAGTAAGTTCAACAACAACAAAACCCAGTGTAATCCCAACAGCATTGGGGTCTAGGGTCAAGATGTAAAGTTGTAAACAGCCTTACCCTTGCAAAGAAATAGAGAGGCTGTTCCGCTTAGACCTTTTGATGAATTACAACATTTACTACCCAAAACTTCATAAAGCATATAAGACATATGTAAATAAGTTTCTTCACAATGTCTCTAGCTTGGTGAATTTGTGTGTGTCAGTGTGTGTGCGTGTGTGTGTGTGCGCACACGCACGCACAGCAGCAAAGCATGTGCCTTGACAAAGATCATCGGCACTACTTACCACTGATGTTGAAGTATAGATGAAGTCAAATAAAGGGCGCAAATTCTAGTAAAACTTTCTGCCAATTTCTAGTAACAGGGGCAATTTCTAGTAAAAATTTCTTCTCAAATTCAAAGTGCCATTTATCAAGAAATCACGCAACCCAATCACAAACTGCCAATTCAACAGCAATTACATGCCAACCCATAGTTGAAATTCAGCCTTCCTGTGCTAATTTTTAGTTTGGATTTTATTAATGTTTAGAAAATGACATTTAATCGCCCAAATCTCTGTAAGATCAAGATCTCGTTTCTAAGCTTTGTCTCCCTTGTTCACTTTCCCCTCATTCAAAAATCGAAAGCTTGCAAGAAATTGAAGAAAACCCTATTAGTTTATGAACTTTCAGGAGGGGATCAATGACGAAATTACACCGTTTTCGGAAGCAAACACAATATGATATCTGGGTGCTAGCTACATCTTTTCAGATAAGAATAGGGTTAGTAGTATTACCTTCTCATCTTGATGGAGAGCTATCCAGACATGGATTCTATCCATCGACTGCCAGAAAGCGAAGGCACCCAATGTCATCGCGAAGAACGTCGCCACTTTAACCATTTTCGTCTCGTTTCTTTGATCTGTTGACTGCCTGATTTCCTTAGCGAACCCGGGAACTTCACGCCAATACGATATGCTAGGAGTAGGTGCTAATTTAATCATCCGATCCCACTTTCTTTGTCCACTTACCTTTTAGTACATCATCCAATACACTTCTTTAATTTATTTTATCTTGTAATTTGTATATTAAAAAATTATAGATATTATATATTAATAATCTATATGTTAAGACAAATGAAACAAGATCACACATGACTATATTTAGGCTTACACATTGAGAGAATTTGATGAGTCAAAGTGCTTAGATGAACAGTTCCAAAAGTCAAAAGTGGACAAAGAGAGTGAGACGGATGTAGTAGCATATAATTGAATGTAAATCAAAATGGATTTTAAACTTTCTGAACTTTTTGTGCTTCTTTAATTAATGAAGTAGTAGTTAGTCAAGCAATGCAACTTTCGACGTTGAGCTGGGGGTCTCTTTGAAAACAGTCTCTCTACTTTTGAGTAGGGGCAAGGTCTGCGTACACACTCCCTCCCCAGACCCTACTCTTGTGGGATTTAACTGGGTTGTTGTTGAAAACGAGAATTTAAGGGGCTGTTTGTTTTAGCCTCTTAATGGTTCAGATGTCTGAATGGTTCAGCACTTAATGGTTCAGACTGTTTGTTTCAGCCTCTTAATGGATCAGATGTCTGAATGGTTAAGAGATTTGCCTCTGAATGGTTAAGTATTATACAGAGTCTGAATGGTTAAGACCTCTTATCTGAATTGATCAGACATTTGCCTCTGAATAGTTAAGCAATATACTAGCTCTTAATGGTTCAGACCTCTTACTAGTTCAGCACTTAATGGTTCAGACCTCTTACTGGTTCAGCACTTACTTATTCAGAAGTTGCCAAACAACCCCTAAGTGATTTAAAATAAATATTGAATTACTCAAAAATCAATAGTTCATTACTGGTAAATGAATACTCACTACACATGTACTAAAAAATTTTGTACATTATATATTGCGGCCAATATGTGAGTTGTGAAGCCATCGCTTTGATATTCAAACAAAGCAGTTGTTTTTGAGTAAATTCTATCATTGATCATTTATTAAAAGGGTTTTTCATATTTAATCTTAAATTATTAAATATTATACCTATATTTTTTCTATTCTAGGTACCTTTCAGCGAATAATCTTTTTTTATCTTATGACATGTTGGCATGAAATTGAATGCTAAAAATGTAAGTTTATAATGATTACGGAGTATATATCTTACTGGTCATAACAAATGCCAAATGTCGCTACTAAATGACTAATGCGTAGTTTGTTAACTGAAGTCATTGTCTGCTGCAATTATAATTTAGAGATGTCGTCTCTAGTCAGAATCCTAATTCACAACCATAGTCATTAGTTACTGTTAGTCCATATGTCCATTAATATTTTTCTCACTTTTCTTTTTGACTGTCCAATAATTTCTTTTACGTTTCATATTTTGGAAAAAAACTTTTGATAAATGTACCATTATATCTCCCACTTTTTATCTGCACTATTAACTTTATTCCATCGCATCAAGGGCAAGACATGGAAAATCTTTACACTTTTTAACTTTTCTTAATATATTTGTGCGAAATCAAACCGGGAAAGAGATTTTGGACAGAGGGAGTGGAGTATATTATTTGTCAAGCCGACATGTGAATATGTCACTGGACATAGAGCCGATGTGAAATGGTACTTTTGGTCCTTAATTTTACACCTAAATGACAAGTCAAAAAAGGATGATTTGTAGAAAACTGCCCATAAAAGAAAGATCGCAACCCTAATATTTAATAATTAAGTACTAAATGTAAAAAATCTAATGTATTTCATGAATAGTATGAAAAATGTTACTTCATTATCCGTCCCAATTTAACTTATTTGCTTACTATTTATGTGGCTTAAACCACTTTCATTACTCATTTTTTAAACTCGTTTGATGAAATAATATAATTATATCAGCTCTTATTTTATAAAAATTTTAGATATAGTTTTTAAATATATAAATTTTGTGTTTAAATTTCACACCAATTTTGATATTAAATGAACTGAAAAATAATTATTCAAACATAGCGAACTAAAACCTAAAAATTTAAATTGGGATGATTGGAGTAGAATTGATAGGATTTGTTATAAGGCCAACTATACTTTTTGCAATAGAGTACTAGATGTTCAAGAAAGTTCACATTCGCCGACAACGGCGGAGATGCAAATGATGCAGTCAATGTGTTAGCAGGCGATGTTGGATAAGATTCAGAATGAGGTTATCTGAGATGGGTAAAAATGGCATGTGTGGAGGATAAATTGTCAGAAGATAAATTGAGGTAGTTTGGTCACGCGATATTAAGGATAATTAAGATTTGGTATTTATTTGTATTGTTTAATCCTTATCCGTCTGTTGTTATCGGCTTTGTTTGGTAACAGCGTCTTTGATTAGCGTTAGCGTTTTGGATAAAATTTTAACGGTACAGATTAATTCTGGAAACGCTAACGGTAAAGGCTACCGTCGGATAGCTTTTTCAAAACGCTAACGCTAATCTCTGGAGCTGATGCCAAACGGGGCCATCATCTTGTAACCATTACCTTATTTCTAGGATCTGTAGCATTAGAGTAGGTCTTCTGGTTATCAGCCTTACGTATGGCTTTGTGCTAGCGTGTGTATATATACTACCTCTGTACTACTCATATTCAATATAGTGTGAATTGATCCTTCTCTACACGCCAGACCTCAAATTATAATTTATAAAGAGCTAAGATTTCGAATACCTGATTACTCATTTTTAATTTCTAAAACTCTGTTGAGCTAAAAACATGAGTATTCTTTTACTCGAAAATGAGTATTCATGCAGATATACGAAAAACGTTGTACATCTAGAAGTGGTATAGCTACTTTATCTCGGCATTGGCGGATTCACGTTGAAGGTGATGATATAGTGGCCCCCGATCAATTTTGGTTTTAAAAATATAGGGTAATTAGAAGCAGTCTAATCAGTTAATGCCTATATTATCCTATATAGGGGCAAAAAATATAGGGCAATTGGGTCAATCAGTTAATGCATATATTCTTTATGGATCTGTCACAACATAGCGACAAAAAAGTTTTGTACGCCGTATTTACGTATAGACCTCTTATGTGGACGACATTATATTTTAATTAGAATTAAGTACATGTCACCAAATAAATGTGTACAATAGTATTACCACCAAATGAGTAATTTAATTTTCCCTATAAAAAATGGATGGTTAATAATTAGTTTCTCTAGTTAATTATGTGGAAAAATGATCCAAATTTAAGACCACATGTGTTTAAATGTCCTAAACCTTCGCAAAATCACTAAATCTCCAAGGCATAACGCAATTGTCGCCATGCATCCATCAACAAAACCTATATATAAAAGCCTCCAAAATCTCTATGACCCTTCTCCATTGCAGTCTTTCTCCAACCATCATCAAGAGAGAATTGCTGCATTTTAGAGCTTGAACAAATTTAATTCCCAAAATTTATTTATTCATTTTTCAAAATAAAACAAAAAAAAATGGCGCACAACTTGTTTGTTCTTGCTCTAGTTTTTTTCGTCGTGGTCGGCATGGCTGCGGCAGAGGCACCTGACGCATCGTCTTCCGCCGCACCCGATGCCACCACGGACGATAACACCGTCATCGGCACCCTCGATGGCGGTGCTACTACCGTAGCCGCCCCGGTTGGTGGGCCCATCCCTTCTTCGGTTCTCGATAGCTTCACCCCGACTGGAGCACCCAACAACGCTGCCAATATTGCCGGTGGAGTCCCCGCCATTGTGGCTGCCGTGGCAGCCACCGTCGCCGGATCATTTTTCTTCTAAAATCATACGTTATTTATGATTTATATATGAAAAATGGTCATTTGAGATTTGTGTTTTTAAAGCTTGTAACACATGGATATATATATTCTTAAATTGTACATGCATATATACATACGTGCATACATAAAATGTAGCAATATAATGTGTTTGTGAAATCAAATAATAAAACAAAACAAAACAATCTTTTTGAAGTTTCTGTGGGTGCATATATGCGTGCATGGGTGGGCCGTCTTAGAGGGGGATCCGAGCAACATGGGCCACAACCTTGAATCATCTGAGTTTTTCTAATAAGCAACATAAAATGACCAAAAAAATATAATGAACTTTATTTCAAATATTCATTCGATGTGAAAATATTTAATAAATAATACTCCCTCCGTTCCACAAAATCCTTCACATTTCGTTTTTTTTTGAATTCTCTAAAACACTTCCACTTTCTATTAAAAAACCACTTTTACCATTACTTTTTCATGCCCTACCTATCACATCATATTTTTTCTCTAATAATCAATCCATCACATCTTACTTTTACCCATCACATCAGGGGCAAAATTGGAAAGTCAACCAAAATTACATTTTCCTTATTTTTATCCAAAATCAAAAGTGGAAGAGTTTAAAGGAACAGAGGGAGTATGAAACTTCACTTCATAAATAATCTATTATATATATATATATATATATATATATATATAATGAAACATACGGTGTATATGCCTGGACACATAGTTTGGGCCGCCGGGCAGGTAACGGCCCATCACAAGCCCCCCTAACTCCTCATTCCATGAGACGAGCCATGTTCAGGAATGGGGAGTTATCGAGGTCCACGTGTGCCCTCCTTTAACGGATCTAAGCAGTCCCTTGACACCTTATCACTTGTCTTCTCAAAGTGAATTCAAATAACAGACGAAGTACTTTTTAAATGCTAAATGAGCATTCATAAAAGAAATCACTTGAAATATGAGTATGATGGAAAATAACATGTGGCTCGGTCCATATTTTCCAATTATTTACGAATAACAATCAAAACAGACCTGTTTAATAAATTCGTATAATAAAAGAATATTTTCCGAATATGCTCCCCCTCTTTCCCTATACAAAGAGGGGTTGCCCTCGATGTTAGGGGAGACAAAAATTCACTCATTCCCTGCCCAAATTGCTCTCTATCTCTAGAGTTGTATGTATGTAATTTCTTTTAATAGACTTCAAGCTTCCATTAATGGCTTCTAAGCTAAAACTTGTTATACCCGAACCCGGGGTCTTATCATGTAGATAATTTGAGGGCGGGATTACGGAGAAATTGGAAGCAAACTAGAACAGCCTTTAATCTTCAGGACTACCAGATAGTCGATTGACACAATCGTGATAATCGATTAACAGGTGCTTGAGTTTCTTATAAGAATTCCTCAGGATTTCAGGAGGGGCTGATAGTCGACTGACAGAATGAGACAATCGATTGTTAGAGACTGCAGGATTTCTGGGGGACGTGATAATCGATTGTCCTAAAAGGATAATCAACTATAATGGGTTGCAGGTGTTTCAACGGTGACTGATAATCGATTGTCACTAAGGATAATCGATTATTGGGCAGAAGTCTAGGCAATAAGAAGGGTGTTTTGTGTGGGGGAATGGCTGGGAAATATGGGGATGATGAAGGAGTTCTTTTTGGGGTATTTTAATGGAAGAAAAGAGTAAGGTTAAGAGGAGAAATAGAGAGATAAAAAATGGAAGAAAATCAGGAATGGATAAACCAAGTTGGTGTTTAAGAGATATTACACACTCTTATCCTAACTTGGGGTTTGAATCTAGATTTTAATTAAGATATGACACACTTAATCAAATATCTAGAACCTAAACCCCACACTTAAGATAACCACTCTTAAGATATAGGATTAGAAATTTGGCTAAAATAGCATCACATTATTTTACAAATACTCAAAGACTAAAGGGGTTTTTTTAATATTCAAAGATGTGTTTACAATGGCCATAGGGCCTGATTATATAGGCGGGGGGAAGGGGGGGAAGAAATACACAATACATTTAATGTAGACATAAGGAAACTTCCTAGCAACATCCTCTCTCAAAGCTCTGAAATATCAGCCATGTTTTGAGGTCCTTTTATTGGAATAAAATCAAGGATGAGTGTGGTTGTAGGGCCTCCAATGAAAAGCAAACGAGGGGGAATGAATGGCCTTATTTTGGGTTGATTTTGGGGGATGTATTCAACCAACTAGGGGGGCAAAGGGAAATGATAATGTGTTGTACTTTGGCTGCATATATGAGGATTTATTTGGTGGTTAAAGGGTTAAGAAAGTACCATGTTTCTCCTGAACTAAAATGGATCATGATGTTTGAACCTAAGTCCTTTGGTTTCCATGAGGGTGTGGGGATATGGAGGAGGGTATGATAGGCTCGGGCCCAAATATATCAAAACTGGTATCACACCCATGCGTTGCACATGTCATAGTTACGTTACTAAATTAAGATCATTTTTAAGAATATAAATTGGTATATATTGGAATGTATAGATTTCACTATTTTAAACTACAAAAATAAAATGATTTACAATTTTTGAAAGATTTCTTTATAAACTAAATTACTCGTATAATTCGTGTGAGCATTCACTTCATTGTGTAACATGATCTTCAAGCCACTGCGAATTATTACTCTTGAAACTTCAACATGCAGTTGCCCATGACAATACAAGTTTTTGTAACAATAATTCAGCATGTTTCAGATATTGTCTCTGACAAACATTCAATAATTTGACTTATCTAAGCAATAATTCAACATATTAATGTATTTATTTTGGAATTATTAGTTTTCAATTTTATTTTCGTATTTAAATGGTACCATTTACTTGCCCTACGACGTTTATTTTCTATTTTATTTTAGATCACTTACCATTTTTACACATATCCATACTTGTAAATTATAGTATTAATATTATTAATTTTAGAACAATTATCATTGTTACATGTTTCCATGCTTATACTATTAATAGTATTAATTCATAATTTTTTTATTTATGTATTTAAATGGTACCATTTACTTACTGTACTTTATTTATTTTTTAATTTATTTTATAGCACTTACCATTTTTACACGTTTCCATGCCTATAAATTGTAGTATTAATTAATTTGTAGTTTTCTATTTTATTTTTGTATTTAAATGGTATCATTTACTTACCGTACCATATTTATTTTCTAATTTATTTTAGAACACTTACCATTTTGATATTTATTTTATTTTCTAATTTATTTTGAACACTTACCTAATTTATTTTAGAGCACTTAACATTTATTTTATTTTTGTATTAAAATGGCACCACTTGCTTATCGTGCTGACGTACCATATTGTATTTATTTTCTAATTTTCTAATAAGAACACTTACCTGTTTTAAAATATTTTCATGTTTGTAAATTATAGTATTAATATTAATTTTGCAATTTTTTTTGTATTTAAGTGGTACTAATTACTTACCGAACCACATTTATTTTCCAATTTATTTTAGAACACTTATCATTTTTAGATGTATTTTACTTTCTCTTTTATTTTTGAACACTTACCTAATTTATTGTAGAACACTTACCATTTTTTTGTTTTCATTTTTTAATGGTGCCATTTTCTTAACGTACCATACCATATTTATTTTCTAATTTTCTAATTAGAACACTTATTATTTTTAAAACCTTTCCATGCTTGTAAATTATAGTATTTATATTAATTTGTAAATTTTTATTTTATTTTTGTATTTAAATGTTACCATTTACTCACCGTAACATATTTATTCTCTAATTTATTTTAGAAAACTTATCATTTTTACACGTTCATGCTTGTAAATTATACTATTTTTTTGTAATAACTAATTAATTTGTACGTAGTTTTTTTGAAATAAATCATTCTAATTCCGCCAATACTTTATTAATTTGTAGTTTTTTTAATTTTATTTTCATATTTAAATGGTATTAGATTTTATTTCCATACTATAATTCTCCAGTGGTTCACTACTATTTATTTTAATTTAAGTATTTAAATGGTGTAACATTTAAATAAAAATGAAAACACACTTAAAATGGAAGGAAAATATTGAGACAAAATAATTAAACTACCATTTGTGTTGTCAACACTTTCCATATATTAGTCTCGTGTATGGGTGGAAAAACATTTACCTATTTTTAAATAAAGTATAGATTATGTACCGTGTATACCCACTCGATATTAATAAAAATCTTCTGTTGGCAAGGTATCACCAAAAAAGGCTTGTGGTTTTCTCCCGATTTGGGTTCCCACGTCAAAATTCTTGTTTTTATATTTTAGTATATTTTTTAGACTAATTTATAGTTTTTGCCCAACTAAAAATAATATGTCGGTCGATAATTATCAGAGTAAAATGTAATTTTTATTTCCAAAAAAGGAATTTTATATTGTTATCTCGAAAATAAGAGTATACAACGTGACAATGTGTCATTGTATATTTGTATTTCACAGTGTTTTTTGATACTTTGTATTATATGCTGATGTTATTGCATTGTAATTTTTATTTGGAATGTAAAAACATGAAGGATATAGAAATATGATATTTTTGTTTTAATATTTTTTCTATGTTTTATTCACTGTTTGGTTATTTTTCCATTCACAAAACAAGCAAAATACAAACACTAAAAAATGTGTATTATTCAAAGCAATAATGAATCTCTTCACACAAAAAAAATACAAATATACCGAATACAATAATTTTCTCACTTATTTCTCTCTAATTTGCATTAAGTGTAATTATAAAATTTTACCCTTATTTTAACGAAGGATAAAGCTATTTGTACTCCAAGTTTTTGTACCCTACTTTGTACCCGTAGATTTGCACCAACACTTTGTGTTGGTGTAAAACTAATTTTTGGTAATGCACTAACACTTTGTGTCCGTGTATATTTTTATTAATGCACCAACACTTGTGTCGATGTAAACCATCAAAATGTTTGTGTTTAACTGCGGTGTACAAATGAGGTATAATTTTTGGAGTACGTGTAGCATGGTTGTTTAACGAAATGCTTTTTTTTTAATTTCTTTTTCTCCTCTTGTAAATGACCATCATCCTAGGGTTTCTGTTATTTCATCTTCAAAACCACATCCTCAGGAAACCGCTGCAGTCTGCAGCTCACTCTCGACTCATTTCCCACTCTATTCTTCGATCTCCGTCTTCCTGATAGGAGAAGTTTCGACATTCCTATTGGGACCGAGCATCAATGGCGCTGGCGTTCGACGAGTTCGGCAGGCCGTTCATTATCATAAAGGAGCAGGAGCAGAAGACGAGGCTTAGAGGCATCGATGCCCAGAAAGCCAACATTTCCGCCGGAAAGGCTGTCTCTCGCATCCTCCGGACCTCCCTCGGCCCCAAAGGCATGGACAAGATGCTCCAGAGCCCCGACGGAGACGTGACCATCAGTTTGTTACTCCCTTTGATTTGATCTGATCTCTGTAGCGTAATTAATGAGTTTTTTTGTGTTCGATTTTGTTGAATTAGCTTCTGTGCATTTTTTGCCTTTTTGAGGATATTGAATTGATAGTTATTACGAGTGCATAGTGTTCCCCAAATCTAGACGTGAAGTTCGTGCCTAGGTGCTTTGAATTTCTTAGTTGCTTCTATAAATCCTACATTCGTGATGAAATCAGGCGTCATTTTCATTATGGATGGGCTTGAAGTGTGGAGATGTTTATTGAGTGTGTTGTAGTCATATAAAAGTGTCTTTAAAAATTTGTACGCAGTGTATGTTTCAACGCAATGTTCAGAAGAGAAATTGATGCTCCATTTGGTATATTTCTTTGCAGTTTTACATTTTGTTGTTGTTGTTGATGCTGCTTCTTGTTACCTCAATTGTAGTTTTGGAATGCATATTAAGTCTCATTTCATAGAGTGAAATGGGAAGGTCTTATCTTAATTTTGGGATGCTATGCAATCCTCATTGGAGTAGCTTGTATAAATTAGAATTTTTCAATCATTGTGTCATTGTGAATGTGATTCTGGTAATATTTTGGACAAAAGGGGTGAAATTTGGTATCTTCATGTTTTCTAATTCTTAAAATGATTCATGAAATGGCAGCAAATGATGGCGCAACCATCTTGGAGCAGATGGATGTTGACAATCAAATTGCAAAGCTGATGGTGGAATTGTCACGCAGCCAGGATTATGAGATTGGTGATGGGACAACAGGAGTTGTTGTCCTGGCTGGGGCACTTCTAGAACAAGCTGAAAAGTTGTTAGAGCGTGGTATTCATCCTATCCGTGTTGCTGAGGGATATGAAATGGCATCCAGGATTGCAGTTGGACATCTAGAGCGCATTGCACACAAATTTGAATTTAGCCTGAATGACATCGAGCCTTTAGTACAAACTTGCATGACCACATTGTCTTCAAAGATGTAAGTGACTAGTTAGATGTAGACATGTGAACCTTGCACTCTTACTCTATGTTTATATATTCTGCAACTGTTGCTTATCTATGCACTTTATGGTGCTTCAGTTATTGTCTTGTATAAATGTCATAAATCTATAAAATAAAATTTGGAAGATCTGTAAAGAAATGACAATTTCAACTATAAACCTACAGTATCAATTGATCTCCACCGAGTATTATTTCTAGTGAAAAAAAACAAATTTTTCAACAATCACTGCTGGAACATTTTGATTTTTCTCACATGCTTCCCCCATTTTCTCATAGGAGACAATGTGATCAAAAGGTTCCAGCTATTCTTCATGTTGTAATAAGGAAACAATGGCAAATGTGTTGTAGAAAACTGTTTTGCGAAAATAGCATGTGATTTGTTTATGGGTTTAATTATTCATACTCTTAGACACATCTTAACACGATGAGCTCTGATTGCAGTGTGAATAGATGCAAGCGTAGCTTAGCTGAAATTGCTGTTAGAGCAGTTCTAGCTGTTGCAGATTTGGAGAGGAAGGATGTTAACCTGGACTTGATCAAAGTGGAGGGGAAAGTGGGTGGAAAGCTTGAAGATACGGAGTTGATATATGGCATTGTTGTTGATAAAGACATGAGTCATCCTCAAATGCCCAAGCAAATACAGGATGCAAACATTGCCATCCTTACTTGCCCGTTTGAACCCCCTAAACCCAAGACCAAGCATAAGGTTGACATTGATACTGTTGAGAAATTTGAGACTTTGCGCTTGCAAGAGCAGAAGTATTTTGATGACATGGTTCAGAAATGCAAGGTAAAAAGCATTTGCAGTTATTCTGTTATAAGAGAAGGTTGAATAAATCTGTGAAGGAATTTAGGATTTCATTCTTATATTTGTGGGAGTGTTAAAAGAAAGAAACAGAAAGGTGAAGGTTCTGAATGAAGCTAGATACGGTTCTTCTGGTTGTTTTCTGATGTGAAAGATGGAGGCATGGAGCTATTAAAATACTCTCTGGAGAGGTGTTTGGTTGAAAACGTTTGGAGGCAGTGGAGCAAAAAAAAGTTTTCCCTCTTCACTTGGCGACGAGTTTTTTTTGAAGGGGTCAGAATTACCTAATTAAAATTAACATCTAAAAAACTAAACACCTTGCCTGAAAACTTCGTTCTTTGAGATGGATCTAGAAGTTCACCATTCAAGACAAGGGGTATAATGATAAATTAGTTATTAAGAATTCTCCCTTTCCCATGTTTAAACAGACAAAGGGTCATTAAAAACCTCTCCCTCCTAACAAAACGAAACAGAATAACAATAAAACCATCTCCTTCCCTCTCAACCATTTGAAGCCTTAAATTAGATACACCCAAGCAGGTTTTCTTTTCCTCATAACTCAGACTTCTTTGATGAATATTGCCATTCTGCCATCAATTTTGTTATTGACTCGGTTGGGAACTGATTGACAGAGGGAGAATGTGATCATTTTCTTTTCTTGTCTTAGTATTTTCACAATTCTTTATGTTATTCAATAACTAGAGAATCTTGGTTTTTCATATTTTTTCAGTCAATAAGTACTCTGTATTAACGAGAGGGATAATGGGATTAATTTTATTCCACAACTTTTTCAGCAAAGTAATAACTTGGAAGAGTTATGATTTGCAACAAACCAGGCTTAGGATTTGGTTTTATTGGGGTTTTTGTTTACTTTTCAGTAAAGAACTTGCTATCACTGGTTTGCAGGATGTTGGTGCCACCTTGGTTATTTGCCAGTGGGGATTCGACGATGAAGCAAATCACTTGTTAATGCATAGGAATTTACCTGCCGTTAGATGGGTTGGTGGTGTGGAGCTGGAGCTGATTGCAATAGCCACAGGTGTGCATCTAATTTGTTATTCCTGTTCTTGTGGTCCATAATTATTACCAGCTACGGTTTCTCATGGTTTTTTGTTTTATGCCCTAACACACAGGCGGGCGAATTGTACCAAGATTTCAAGAGTTGACCCCAGAGAAATTAGGCAAGGTGGTGCCATGTCTATTTTATCTTGTGCATTTTGCTTGATTGCTTTTTGTTTGCATATTCCGTCATATGTTATGGAAGTTGACTTTGATATGCTTGATTGAGATTCACTTTCTCTTTTTAAAGTTAAATTGCTACAATATCATAAACTTCATAATCATCACCATCATCTCAATTAGTTGGGGACTAGGGCTGGTGTTATTAAATTTATAGTGCTAGTTAACTCTATAAACATACTTAACGTTACATAAAAGCCAGAAAACAGTGCCAGTGTTGCACACAGGATGTCCTTCCTGTGCTAACCTTCTTAAGAACAATAAAATTGGGAACTCCAAACAAAAAATTAAACATGAGAACTCAAAGTTGAGTTATTGTTTTGCACATTGCTTCATATTTTTCTCTTTTTTGCAAGTGATTTAAACTTATTATTTTGTTTCTTTGATTTCAAATACATTATGGATGCTAGGAAACACATTTATTGGAGTGTTTTGGTATAACATAGCTATTTGTGGTAAGTGAGATATTTGACATCTGTTGAGCATCTATTTGAAGTGTTTATTCACTAATTGTTTTGAGAGATTTTGGTGACAGCTTTTCTGTCCACATCTTTTTACATAAACTACTCCTAACACTCAACTTAACAATAACATTCTCCTAAACAGTTGACACAAATCATATATTCCAATAGCTAACTGCGGGATGCGAAGCAGGGCATATGTAGATGAATCTAAATTTGTTTGTTTAAAGTGTCAACAGTATCACTCTTTTGTTTAATAATTTCAGGCTGGACTGGTTCGAGAAAAAGCTTTTGGCACAACAAAAGATCGGATGATATATATTGAGCATTGTGCAAATTCACGGGCGGTGACAATATTCATACGTGGCGGTAAGCTGTTTTGCTTTTTGCAATTTCTTCTACTCCGTACATCAGTACTGCCGTAGACCATTTTATACCAGTTTTTTTGTTGTTGTTGATGCCCTGATTCGGAAACCTCTTTAGTATTTACCTTTTATAGGTAGGAGTAAGCTTTGTGTACACTTACCCTGAGACCTCACTTGTGGTGGTCGCTGCTTGTTCTTTACAAATTGGACCTTTAGCCTGTTAGTGTTTTCTTGGTATTCAGAAACTGCTGGAGAAGTTTTTCTTGGAATTCAAAGTTAACACCTATTGTTGAAACAACAGATCTTTATGTTTTTTTTCCTCTAAATAATGTACAAATATTTTTAGTTTTGTGAACTCAGCATTGTAAATACTGATTATCACAATATACCTCTGCATTTGGATGCTTTTCCCCTGGGAAAAACCTGTGGGTATATCTACTACTTGGTTTCTCTTGAAATGCCTCGCCATAAAAATACCACCATTGTGTTAAAACAGGTAACAAAATGGTGATAGAGGAGACAAAGCGCAGCATTCATGACGCTTTGTGTGTTGCCAGAAATCTTATCCGGAACAACTCTATAGTATACGGGGGTGGGTCAGCTGAGATCTCGTCATCAATTGCTGTGGAAGAAGCTGCTGATAAATATCCAGGAGTTGAGCAGGTGTGCAGCCTCATCTCATTTATTGTTTTACCTTCTATTTCCTCTAAGTAGTTATTTTTTCAAGCTAATGCATTAATGCCCAATCATTTTTTTTGCAGTATGCCATCAGGGCATTTGCAGATGCTTTAGATGCTGTGCCTATGGCCCTTGCTGAGAATAGTGGCCTTCAACCAATTGAAACACTCTCTGCTGTTAAATCACAGCAAATCCAGGTTAGTTTGTCACAAGATTCTTTTGAGAGTAGTGGGTAAGCAGCCAGTTAGGAACACAGAAAAATGTTAGTGAACAAAGTATTAGGGAAATAAAAAAATTCGAATTAGCAAAAATATTTGCTCAAACTTGTTTTAGTTATTTATTCTTATCATATAAAGTCTAATACCAGAGCAGTATGTTTGTTTTAAGAGAAAAGAATGAGAAAGAAAAGTAGAACAGAGAAAACAGAGATTTGTAATTTTTTTTGGTTTGGATAGCAAAGAAAAGGAGACGATTTAAAATAGTATGGGCCCCACAAATATTTGTTAGTGTCCAGTCATTGATGAAAAACAAGTGCATGATGAGCTTCTTTTTTATAATTACATTTTATTCTTCCTTTTTCTTTGGGATAAATAAGGGATTGAACTGTGTAGTGCTTTTATTTTCAAGTTAAATTTTTTAAGTGCTTAATTAACAAGCTAAAGACACAATATTCCTTACATAGTGGAGAGAGAAAATGTTAGTGGAGTTAAAAGTGTAAAGTTGTTTGAAATAGGCAACAAGTAAAATTGTAAGTAGGCAGGAATCTGCATGTTTCTTTTGGCCTTTGAAGTTGAGAAAAAGTGATTACTTGAGCTCTTAAAGTCATACCTAACACCAAAATTTCTTGAGAGCACTTATTAGTAATCATAAGCAATTCCTATTGAGTTTGCAAACAATCTAACCTTTCTTTCTTTCTTTCTAGGATAAATGTCATAATAAATCTACTTATATAAGACTAAAACATACTATCTCTAAAACTTATGCCAAAATAAGGCCCATGTTTTTATCCTCTTAATAAATAGGAGCGTTGACACTTTAAATGTCGCAATTTGGCAATGTGGGTTTGCATTTCAGTATTTTTTGTCATCATGTCTTGACATTATAAGTCTTATTTAGGTATACGGAGCATATTTTAGTCCTAGTTAGTTGTTTCTTCCTTTTGTCATTTATAAGAGAATAAATATAATCTTTTTCTTTTCTTTTCTCGTGCCAAACAATATACTAATATACCCCGGAGTACTAGATTACTCTATCTTCTCCTCTCTTTTTTTTGTTCATTTAAACTGTTCATGTTTAAATTCCGAACACAAAACCATACATAAGAAATCATGTTCCATACCTTCATTTTTCTCATCCCCTAGACCCTAGCAATTCCTAGTTCTAAACATACGTTAATTAAAAGATCCTCCTTTCCCACAAAAATTGCCCGCAAAAAAGCGTCTTTAGGTCTAGTGTTTTTCTTCTTCTTTTAAACTATGATAAACACATGTGCAGGAAAACAATCCGTGTTGCGGGATTGATTGTAATGATGTTGGCACAAATGACATGCGTGCTCAAAACGTGTTCGAGACCTTGATCGGGAAGCAACAGCAGGTTATGCTTGCAACCCAAGTTGTCAAGATGATTCTGAAGATTGATGATGTCATCACCCCGGCCGAGTACTAGACGTTTTATGTGGTCGAAGCATGGTGGACGACGGTTTTAACGTTTGAACTTTTTGGTGGAGTTGAGTTTTGTTTTTTTTTCCGCCTTTCCTACATCTATGCTCCGACCTTCGCCTTTGTCCTGCGTATTACATTTAATGTTTGTTCACAGTCTGTCTTAATTAAGGTGTGGCTGTTTGGCTCTGAATAAAGGACCGATTTGTACTTTTGGGGTGGGTCCCAATTAACCATGTGCGTTGTGTTTGAGATTTGACTTATACGTGATCCCCCCTCCCCCTCCCCCCATTATGATTTATGATACCTTTGTCGATCGTGTCTTACATTTTACAGTACTTCCTAACGCCACCTCCGTCGTGGAGGTTTGTCCACTTTTAATTTTTTTCCAGTTTTAACATTATATACGGTATATTAATTAGATAAAATAATATTTTGAAAATATTTTATATGATAGATCTAATGAAACTATTTTTGTATCAATATCTAATATTTTTTTATTTAATTGGGGTCAATTTCCGAATTTTGACCGAAAAAATTTAAAAATGGACAAATATTCTGGGACGGAGTGAGTATTACTCACTGTGTGACATTGCTGTGTGTGGGTGGTACTATAGTTTTTCAGGGATTGTAACTTAGCTTTTGTTTTTAAATTTAAAAGCAAAATTAATTGCATTAAAATTTTCAGTCAATGATATAATTGCCTTATTTATTAATTTTAAATTTTACTCTCTCCATCCCAAGTTGGATTATGATTTTTCATTTATGAGGATTGAGGCATGACCCTACATTTTCTAAAAGCAATTTATTTAAAAATTAGTAGAAATATAGTTAATAAAATTGAGTACATATTAGAAAAACTACGTCAAAAATTTTACAAAAGAAGACATGATAGGAGTATTTTATTTTATTAAATAATAAAAAAAGTACTCTAACAAATACTCCCTCCGTCCCAAATTATAATGTCTGTTTACTATTCACAGGGTCAAATATTATTCACTTTCTTTCTCTATTTTTGTTAGCAATTTGATAAAATAAAATATTATTGTCACTACTAGTTTTGTAGATCTTTTGATGTAGTTTTTTAATATGTAATTTTTATTTTTTAATTTTATACCATTTGTCATATAAAATGGTTTGAAAATAATTTCAGTCAAACATCGTAAACCGAAACAGGCGTTATAAATTGGGACGGAGGTAGTACTCTGTAAAAGTTATCGGAAGGTAGGTTTTAAACAAATTGTAATCCAATTTGGGACGAGAGAGTATTTTAACTCTCCCTCTGCCACATAAACTTTCTTACACTTTATTTTTGGACATCCCATAAAATGTTTTTTCACGTACTTTATTTCATATTTTAGTAAAGAATATGTGACTGCCAATAATTTTATAGAGTATCTTCTTGAAACAAATTTCAAGTATACATGCACTTTTTAACAACTTTCTTAGTTTAAACTCTATAAAATCAAAGTGTCACGAATTTAATGGGACAGAGTGAGTATAAAAATATTGAATATTCTATTTAGATATTTAGAATTATATACCGTAGTAGAGTAAACCATATTCGAGTACTTTTTTATTGAATTACTCCATGTCTATTGGGGAAACGAGAGGGATAACAACACTGTGAAGTATCGTTATTATAGAATTTGCATACGAAGAAAGGGAAGAACGACTTGATAGACTTTGAGAATCGTGTGTAAATGCTTTCACTTTAAAGTTATTTTGGGTATGGAATCTTGAATCGAAAAAGACATAATTAATCTAGAACGAGTATGGAATTTCTCGGTTGTCAATCTCTTGACACATACCAAGGTGCCATATTTATAGGCAAATTCTGAACAGACGTGTTGGACTGTTGGTTGATGAAATAACCAACTTTCAGGTAACATTCTTTAATGGAGAATATTTGAGTAGAACGGTTACTTCTGCAGTTAAGTACGAACTGTTGCAAATTATCGTGAAATATTCGAATCTATCTCCCAAAACAAACTTGGCAACGTCTAAAATAGCCGATGACACTAAAATCACCAACACTATGTCCGAAAACAAAGTTTCATGGAGTATTTTATTTGATCTCTTATGTGTCATGCAACCCACAAGTGTGTCAAAATGGGTGCTGAGCTTCACAAATGTCTTGATGATACCCTTTTGAGGGCACAATCTTTTGTATTGCCTCACCATTTTCAAAGCTTATTTATGATCAAGTTTGGCATTGCCTTTTTTTTTTGTATTTTAAAAAAAGAAGCCATTTGTTAGTGTCCCTTAATTTTTAGGACATTTTCATGTTTTCCTCCCTCGGTTGTGCACAGCTACCCTTTGTCTATGACTTTTTTTTTGTTTGTAAACCTGAGAATGTGTTGAGAAATAATTGCACATTTTTTTTGTCTTACATGTATTGCCTTTTTTTGTTTTTGGCATTTTGCTTGGGGACGTAGGTAGAGTAGTATAGGGTGGTGGTGGTTTAAACTTTTAAAGAGAGGTTTGAATTGTGGTTATTTTAAATATGCTACCTAATAATTAGTCGTACTTGGTAGTTGGCCACCGTTTACTTCCCTAAAATATTGACACAGTTTGACATTTTTGGTTAAATTATGACATTTTTTAATCATGAATTAATATAAATATAGTTCAAGATAATTAAATATTATAAAAATTTGATATTTCAAAACTATATTTTAAAATAAATTGAATTTTTACTAAGTTTACATTGGGAAAAAGACTAAAGTAGAAGTAAAAACATTGAAAATACACCGAAATACGACTTCCATGTTTTTATTCTCGAAATAGAAGTTAAAATGCATTTACATTGCCAGACGTAGTCACGCACATTACCAAAAAGTATAGTAATGTGCACGTGTAGAGTGCCACATTATCTTCATATTACTACAGCGTGAACTCCTATTTCGAGAATAAAAACATGGAACTCCCATTTTGGTACTTTTTCTATGTTTTTGTCCTCTTTAGGGTTAGTTCTAATTTACATTATAACTAAATATATTTTTTCTATAATTTGCTTTTGAAGGAAATCTTTTGTGCACGGAGCAAGCATATTTATTAGAGTAAAATGACTTGTCATTAATTTAATTTGTTACCGGAGTAGTTGGTATAGTATGTTATGACTTATGACTAATGGGGATGATATATTAGGATTACTCCAAGCAATTAATTATTCACTCTCTTCATCCTAATCTAGCCTTCCACTTTTTTTTATTATTTATTTCTCTGGAATTAATTTTATTTAATATGGAGTATTAAATATTTTAGAGATAAGGGTATGTATGAAGAGGACTAGCCTCGGGGCAAAGGTATAATAAGGTACTAAATTTTTTAGCAAGAGTAATAGAGAAAACAGAAAAAATACAAAATAAAATAGAGTAATTTACTTAAATATGACTAAAAAATAATGACTTTCTCAATATAGAATAATATGTTTTTATTTTCCAATGTATGACCATTGGTCATTTTCTATTAGTCATTATTCAACTAAATGTCCAACATCACTTCGACATTATTCTTCTCATGATCACTAGTTATTATTAAGTCCTATTTAGGGAATAAAAAAGTTTAAGTCCTACATTCGACTTATGTTTTAGTTCTATTCAGTGCAAATTTCACAATAAAATATACTATGTATATTTTTTGAATGCTATTAACTGGATTACAGTGCAATATGTCTTCATATATTCTCTAAAAATAAAATAATTCTCTTTTTAATATTCATATTTGATAAATGCTAAGGATAATGTCTCCAAAATTTTGACAATGAAATTGAAGGTTAGGGTTAGGTTCGGGCCTTGTTGGGATGTGGGGTTTGTTAGGGGGATAAAAGGCTAGAAATAATATATTTTATGAACGAAAGAGTGTAGGTTCTCCAAAATTTCAATGACACTGTAATGTTAACCGGAGCGGGTGTTAATATTACTCTCTAATATTTTGTTTTAATTTATAAAAAAAAGCTGATTTCCCAAGTTTCACACTAATTTTAAAAATTCTTACATCACAAACATCATCACGTAATTACCTTGGTCGGTGTTGACAAAACATTCTAAAAAGGATGAGCCCCATCCCTGAGAGCCACCTCAGACTCGGCCGGACGATCACTGAGAGGAGATTAATTAAACTTTAATCATAGATTGGTGATAAAGAATGAAATCTGCACCTTGTACTTGTAGAGACCCTATGTTTAGCATAGTTACTCTTAGCACAATTAATAGGAATCAAACTTGAGTCTTACCACACTTAGCACCCTTGCCTTGTTGACTGCGCAACACCACTTGTCTTGACAAAACATTCAAGAAAATATAGATCGGGGATAACATTTAATTTTTTTGAGTGTTTTTGAGCAGTGTTTTCTTTTTTGGGAGGTATAAACACAAACTAGTATAGGAGCCGCCTCAAGTGGTCCACTAATATGGTGTTAGTAGATCTGAGTTTGATTTCTGACAACTACGTTGTAAGTCAACAATGCTAAACATAAGGCTTCCGCAAGTATCATGTGCAATTGTGCATGTTTCACTCTCTTCCACCAAAAATTTGCGATCAAAGTTTAAGTTACCTCATCTCAGTGACCGCCTGAGCGGGTCTGAGGAGACCCTCGGAGATGAGACCCTTGTTTTTTACTCCCTCCGTCCATAAAAAATTGCCACAATTTAATTTTTTTGTCAAACTATGGCACATTTTGACCACGAATTTAATATAATTTAAAATAATTAAATATTATAAAAAATTATAATCCAAAACTATATTTAAAATTAACCTAATTTTACTAATAAATTTGCATTATAATTAAGTATATTTTTTATAATTTATGGTCAAAAAATGCTAAAATTTGACTAAAAATCAAACAAGATCAACCTTTTAGAGAAAGAAGGAGCATTAATCTGGTGTTAAGACTCCGTTAGTTGACACTGTCGGTCGAAACACAGCGTCAGCAATTAACACATCAGCCAATATCTCCCGCCATCAGCGCCACTCCATCAATCACGATTCGGGCAGCGGGCAGTGTGACTTTTTACCTTTTGACTGTGGCACTTACCTTGTACACTATTTATAATTGAAAAGAATTAAAGTTTGAATTAAGCTAGGGGTACACCAACATGGGTACCCCAAGTGTACACCAAAGCCAACACAGACACAAAGTGTCTGTGTTGCACAAACATTTTGTGTCTGTGTGTCTGTGTGTCTGTGTTGCCTTGGTATACACTTGGGGTACCCCATGTTGGTGTACCCCTAGCATTGCCCTTAAAGTTTTACCTGAACTCCCTCTATTCTAAAATGAATGCTACATTTTACTCCATCCGTCCCATAAAACATGAGATG